AAAAATGCATGTGCTATGTCCCATATAATGTGTGATGTATGAGTGAAGTTTGAACTTAATCGGTCCATGCATGTTCGAGATACAGGTGATCACGGACGCACGCACGGACGCACGCACGGACGCACACAGGGCAAAACATAAGTCCCCGTTTTCGGACTGCGTCCGAACGGGGACTAAATATGCAAATGAACTCATTAATTGATTCCTTGAATAACTAAATCAATGTGCATCTGTACCAGTGGACACTCTGTCTTTGTACCAAGTTTCAGCAAAATCTAAAATTAAAAATATCAATCTTAAACTTAATACATGAACATGCAGAACTTACGTGTGATGTATATTTCTCTGTACAGCAGCAGTGTCTTCTAAAATGGAAATCACAGCCTTTATAGTTAATTTCCCATAACGGTTTAATAACTCTTTGATGACTTGTTCAACTAATCTTCTGGAGGTCCCATCATGATAAATGGGTAAAGTCAATGCTAATATTCTGCACACTCCTTTCACACTTTTTTCTGGTAAATCTTCATAAAAAAAATATATTATTATACATCTGTCACTGTAATGCCATAAGTTACAGTGTGTCGTAATTTTGCGGTAATGCACTGGGTATTTTCATCCCCCCATATTAAGAAACGTGAATTCCAAATATGGAACGATTACGTGCGTAAGCATCTTCTAATAATAAAACATGGCTGCCCCCAGGGTTTGACAAGACCCCACACAAAAAAGTTTGCTAAAACATTTTGGCATTTCCATGATGTATTCCTGGGAGGAAAAGATGTATAATAATATTAGGTTAATACCAGGATACAGCAAAAGTATGCACTCAGACAGTACGCAGTCGCATCGACCTCCGCTACTTGCCGGGCAATACTCCTGCTGTACTGTCTTCATGCATACTTTGCAGTATCCTTGTAATAACCTCATATTATACCACCATTTCAATTTGCCAAATATGTCATTCTGATTGGTCAAGAGTGTGTTTTTAATTATGCAAGCCTTGATAAAATATTTTGCTTTATATGCAAAGAACATAATAAAATCAAAGAAAGCTTAGAAAGAAGTCCCGTGTGCTGAGAGTTTTAGAGACACATTAAAAATTAATTCAAAATTACTTATACTTGAGATATTGATGGAATAGCTGAAAACTAATTATGCAAATAAGGTAACTAATATGAACAGATTTAAGTGTAAAACTAAAGGTCTGCACAATGTACGAAGTTTCATTGAAATGTGATTAGAATCAAAAAAATAATTATTATGCTAATTAGAGAATTAATATGAACAGATTTTAACCCAAAATTAATCAGGCTGTCTATTGTCCTAGAGCATTTATGTACCAAGTTTTATTCAAATGCGATGATCAATACTTGAGATATCAGTATTAATTAATTATGTTAATTAGGTGTTTAAGAAGCATAAATATTTACCAAAAACTAATATGGTGCATAGTCTGAGGTTCATTGAAATGTGATGGGTACTCTTTAAAAGTTTCATTGAAATCCAATGAGTGGTTTTTAGACATCAGTGCAACAGCCATAGAACAGCAAAAAATTAACTAATTATGCAAATTAGGTAATTAATAGGCACAATTATTTATCCCAAAATTAATCAGATCTCTGCATAGTCCTAGAAAAAATGACGCAAGTCTCATTGAAATGTGATGATTAGTACTTGAGATATCAGGTGAAAAGCTGAAAATTAACTAATTATGCTAATAAGGTGATTAATATGCACAAATATTTTACCCAAAAACTAATTAGGTCTCTGCACAGTCCTCAAGTAACTATGTACCAAATTTCATTGAAACGTGATCATTACTACTCAAAATATCAAAAGCTGAATTATTAGGTAATTAGGTAATTAATATGTACTGATATTACCCTAAAAACTATCAAGTCTGTGCAGTGTCATATGACACCTATGTACCAAGTTTTATTGAAATGTTATGATTAGTACTTAATCATTATGTAAATTAGGTAATTAATAATATTAACAGATTTTTACCCAAAACTAATCAAATCTGCGCATTAGTTCTGAGCATCCATGTGCCAGGTTTCATTGAAATCCAATGAGTGGTTTTTCAAAAATCAGTGGAACAGTCATAGAACAGCTTAAAATCAGTTAATTATCATGCAAATTAGGTAATTAATATTCATAGATTTTTACCCAAAACCAATCAAATCTGTGCACTAGTTCTGAGCATCCATGTGCCAAATTTCATCAAAATCCAATTAATGGTACTTCAGATATCAGTGGAACAGTCTTGAAACAGCTAAAAATCAGCTAATTATCATGCAAATTAGGTAATTAATATTCATAGATTTTTACCCAAAACTAATCAAATCTGCGCACTAGTTCTGAGCATCCATGTGCCAAATTTCATCAAAATCCAATTAATGGTTCTTCAGATATCAGTGGAACAGTCTTGAAACAGCTAAAAATCAGCTAATTATCATGCAAATTAGATAATTAATATTCATAAATTTTTACCAAAACCTAATCAACTCTGCGCATTATCCCAGAGTATCTATTTACCAAGTTTCATCAAAATTTGATTAGTGGTTCTTGAGATAACAGTGGAACAAAAAAAGTGACATACATACATACATACATACATACATACATACATACATACATACATACATACATACATACATACATGGTTTTTGTTTATTCTCGATTATAAAAAAAAAAAAAAAAAAAAAAAAAAAAAAAAAAGTTTTACATTTCATATCTTGCTATTTACAAATAAAATAATTTAAATTGAGCAACAATGGTCATAGTTATAGTACCAATGAACAACACACACACACAAAAAGAATCGAATTATGAAAGCATTAATCGTGTAGTCAATCGCGTTCATGGGATGTGCAGATTAAGTGTCAGTTATTCTATTTTGAACATCCAGTTTTTCATCAGTTGGGGTATGGCGAGTTTCAGCGTCATATGCATCTTTTTGTCTTGGCTGAGTAGTCTTCATAAAGTATTTTCCTAGTTTTGAAGTTAATCGTTGGATTCGTATTTTGTCCTTGCTTTTTATGTCAGTGTGTTTTGCGTAGATTTGTTAGTGATCTTATAAGCAATCTGAGATCAGGGCAGAACTCAGTCGCATGATCAAAAA